TTCGGAATCTGGAGGAAACTAGAGCGGTTGCACATAGAGCAATCTCTCCCCAATAGGATGTACCTCATGCAGAGGGTGTCAGGGTTTAGGATGGACAGCTCTAGGACAATAGAGGAGAATTTAGACATTTTCCAGAAGCTATTGTCCGATCTTCACAGCCTAAATGTGAAGGTAGAGGAGGAGTATCAAGCAGTTTACCTGCTGAATGGAACACTGCGACAATGGAGTATTCTAGGGTTCCTTTTTTTCATTTAATTTCTCCGATTTCTCCCGGAGAAGGAAGGGAATGAAAATTATTGTTGAGTCTTCAGCAAATACTCTGAGCGAAGAAGAAGGTTTCAAAGCTTCGGGTTCGGTCAGAGGGTTCCAAAACGCGGAGGGGCAATTCGGTCATTTGGTTCTTTAGGGTAAATGAAACCCTAATGTTTGTTTGAGTCTCAGACTTCTGCGTTTTTCGGTTTTTTGGTGGTTTCTCTCTCTAGGTCGGCGAACTTGTGTTCTCCGGTGTTCGGGGTCGATTTTCCGGTCGATCTCCGGCAGCTCTCTTTGTGTAACCCTAGATTTTTCAACCTACCAGACCTAATAGACTCTAAACCTGCCTACCTAAGACCTGATTACGTCTAATCAGACCTACCCCAAGGCTCACACTGACCTAACCAACCTAGATCAGACCTAAAACCGAGTCTATTCTGTCCCCCTAAGTCCTAATCAGACCTAAGCCAACCCAATATTGACTTACCTACCCCTGATCAGACTTGAATTAACCTAATCAGATCTAAACTAAGTCTAAACCGACCTAATTAAATCTGATCAGACCTTATCTAGCCTAATACCGACTTCTCACTCACCTAGTTCAGCCAAATCCTCCTATTCAGGCCTAACCGGACAGAATTGCCGGACTCTATGACTGAGGATAGGTAACCAAAGTCTACCGCAGATCTAATCTGCCTTTACCTAGGATAGATCGACCTATACAGATCCTAAATACCCTATACCAGACAGAATGCCCTAAGAACCGGACTCTATCTAACCCAATCGAACCAATCAGACCTAAAACCGACCAATTTAAGTCCTAATCAGACACCCCTGACCCTAAACCGATCAATCTAGACCTGTTCTAATCGATACAGACCCTAAACCAAACAAACTCAGCCCTATTTGGACAAATCAGACCCTAATCAGACCTAAACCGGCCCAATCCCAATCTAAATTGACCTAAACCGGACTCTATTGTCCTAAACCGGTCCTAGATTGACCTAAACCGGTCTGGGTTATCCCGAACCGGACCTAAATTGACTCGAACCGGTCTGAACCGGTCCAATTGACCCCAAACCGGACCTGAACCGGTCCAATTGACCTGAACCGATCCGGTTTTCCTAACCCGGTCAACTGTTGACCAGAAATTGGTCAACGTTTGACCTAACCCGACTAAACCGGTTCGATTTTGAATCGAGCCCGGTCCAATTAGACAATTTCGATTTAACCGGCTAAACCGGATTAAACCAGAAACCCTAATTTTCGGAAGTTTTGGCAGCCGAGTTAACCCGAGTCAACACGGTGGTTGACTCACCCCGGTCTCCGAATCAGACGTGACTCAGTGAGCCACGGCCGATTTCACCGGAGAACCGTCGGTTTTTCCACCGGTTTTCCCTTCCCGCACCTAGATCTAGCACGAAACCAGGTAATCTTACCTCCTTGGACTCCAAAACTCGGCTGTGTGACTCAGTCCGAGTCTGGATCCGGAACCTTACCTCTCTTCCACCACCGGATCTGAGCGCCGCCGCCGATGTACGTTGCCGATCTCCCCACGAGAAGGCTCCTTTCGAAGTTTCGACCCTGAAACACTCGACACACACCGTTAGAACGCTCAAACCTAAACCCCAGAGTTTCGGACTTACCTCGACCGTCGATCGCCGTCGATGTCCGCCACTCCCTGCCTCGAAACCGGGCTCCTGATACCACTTGTAGAGTATTTACCCTCCGATTCACCTCAGCGACACTCCGATTTCACTCGTGTGAGCAAGAAATGAAAGAAGGAGAGACGACACAGAGTTTACGAGTTCGGTACCGAGCTCTAACGCTCGGTGCCTACGTCTCGGGAAGAGGGAACCGCTATTTGCTAGGTACAACACAGAAACACGCCGGAGAATCGACCGGAGTCGACTACAGCGCAACCGGAGAACCGAAGTTCGCCAAGAGAGAGAGAGAGATGAGAAACCCTAGAGAGAAGACGGAAAAACGCAAAGTGTTCCGAAAAACCCGAAAACCCTAGGACTCATAACGCGTCCTTTACATTTTCCCAAAATACCCCTCAGAGACTCTGCTTCATTCCGAGGCTTTGGAAGCCTCCAAACTGATCAGCGGGTTTGGACGAAGAACGCTTCCAACAATACAGTTTGTTGAATGATTTCACAGTGTTGAAATTTTCTTTCTGTTGCCGGGAATGCCACTTTGATATTGCGAATGAGGAAAACAATGTGAATATGTGGTTCTTGCAGTGGAAGATCAAGAAGCTTTGCTTTGAGTTTGATACAGATTCGTATTATCGAGCTCTAGATGCTAAAGTAAAGGTAAGAACAACAATCTCGTTTCATAAGAGAAACTTATGAGTTTGATGTTGTTCACTCCTCTCAGAATGATGTGCTTTATCAAGTTTTTAGTTTGATCTCTGTCTCTGTAGGATTACGCTTCTTCAGTTGGGATAGAGGTTTTCTCTCCAGTCAGTCATACCCTTTTCAATCCATCCGATATTATACGAGAAGTGAGTGGAATTTGTATATTAGTACTTTGTGTTAGATGTTCTTACATGAAACTGATACATGTGTTTTTGTTTTTCATTGTGGGGGTAGAATGGTGGGAGGCCGCCTTTGAGCTACCAGTCATTTCTGAAAATTGCCGGGGAGCCCTCGTGTGAAAGATCTGAACTCGTGATGTCTTATTCTTCACTTCCTCCGGTTGGGGACACTGGAAATCTTGACATTTCGGCTGTACCAAATATCGAGGAACTTGGCTATAGAGACGATGAACAAGTTAGGAGACAATCCATTTGTTAAGGGCTTAAAAAAATTTGATCATCGAGAAAAACTTATTCGAGCTGGTATGGTTGTAGGATGAGCGGACTCCTTTTATAGGTGGTGAAACAGAAGCCTTGAAGCGACTGGACGAGTCAATGAGAGATGAGGTCTGGTTTAGAATTGGAACCGTGTTGATATGACAGACGTTTTTTTTTCTCAGAATCTCTGTAGTTGCAATGAGTGAAACCGTTTGATGAGTGCCACACTTTTGAAATAAACATGGTGAAACCCGCAAAAACCAAGTATTTATGGGAACTGTGGGCGGAATGTCTCGGTAAAAGCTTCTGCTTTTGAAGATTCGCCATTAGATTTCCCAAGACTAGTACTTTCGCATTAACTTAGTTTTGCTATGCACGCCTTACTGAATGTATATCTTTGTTATAGAAATTGATTAAGCTGACTTCTTTATTTGTAGAGCAGGCATGGGTGGCAGATTTCGAGAAACCAAAGGGCGATCCTTCAGCGTTCTTGAAGCCTGCAACAACGGTCCTATCACCTTATCTGAAAGTGAGTTTCATTAGCATAAAGCTACACTGTCGGGTGTCGGGTTTTTCTTTCCTTGTAGCTCTTTAACCAGCAACCCACTCGGTATTTTCCCCTTCCATCATCATAATCTTTGCATCTTGTTTCTATTCTAACCTTTTGAAAGTTCGGATGCCTTTCTTCGAGGTACTTTTACCAACGCATTCAAAGTATTTACAAGAGTGTCAAAAAGCATACATCCCCACCGGTTTCTCTCCTCGGACAGGTCAGTCAATAAGCAGAGTAGATTAGTTTGCTGGTTCTGCAGAAATTTGATCTATTATTTTTATTTCTGTAGTTACTATGGCGAGAATTTTTCTATACTGCTGCATTTGGTACCCCTAATTTTGACAAAATGAAGGGAAACAGGATATGCAGACAGGTAAACAGATAGCAAACTCTAGTACATTTTCTCTTGTCACGTTCTTGAAGCTTGTAAACAAAGATCTTCATCTACCTCAGACCAATCTTTTAGTTATGTACCTAAACTAGATTCCATGGAACGATGATCATGAAATGTTGGTGGCTTGGAGGGATGGTAAGACGGGTTATCCTTGGATTGATGCCATCATGGTTCAGGTTAGATCTTTCGAGAAGTGAAAAGCTTAAAACTTTTCGTTCTTTTTTAAAGAACTTCCATTTCTTGGCATCATTATGCTTAGTGAACAGAATCTAACTTAGATCTTAGACAAAGTGAACAGTTTTGCTGAATTATTTCTGTAGCTCCGTAAATGGGGTTGGATGCATCATCTGGCACGTCACTGCGTTGCCTGTTTCCTAACTCGTGGCGATCTGGTATGATGCCTCGTCTATTCTTTCAGGTTTTACCTTTTTCCTCTTGACTTGTCGTTGACATGATTATCTCTGATGTAAGTTCATACATTGGGAAAACGGCCGTGATGTCTTCGAGAGACTTCTGATAGATTCAGACTGGGCAATCAATAACGGAAACTGGATGTGGTTATCTTGTTCATCATTCTTTTACCAGGTCCAGTTTTACTTTTCGTTTTTTGTCCCTTAAGCTTGTTCTACAACCCGATAGAGAGATCTGACCAATCTCAACCTTCATTTACGTGTTTGCAGTATAACCGTATATATTCTCCTATAACTTTTGGCAAGAAGTACGATCCCGATGGGAAATACATTAGGCATTTCCTCCCCGTCCTGAAAGGTACCCGGGACTTATTCCATCATAATTTCATCTCAGAAAGTTTAGCTTCCATACAATTTTCACGAGTTGAATGATTTTTATGATCAGATATGCCAAAGCAGTATATTTACGAGCCATGGACCGCGCCTCTGAGTGTTCAAACTAAAGCAAACTGCATAATCGGGAAGGACTATCCAAAACCAGGTTAGTGTTCTCATCTCCTGTCATGTGTACACGAGGATCTGGGCGTAAGTTAAGCTATGAACACATATCATTAGTGAAGAAATCAAAATCTCGGGTAAATAATCGCGATACTTTTGAAGCTACCATTCAAGACTCATTTTATGATATTTTTTTTCACAAGAATTGCTGAATAATGCCTCATATTGTTTCCATTAACAAATACTTACACATTCGTATGCATCTCCAGTAGTTTTAAACATCAGCCGATCTATGGACAAGTTCTTGATTTGTATTGTTCTAAATCTGTTCTTGGCAGTGGTTTGTCACGATTCTGCGGGCAAGGAATGCAGAAGGAAGATGAGTGAAGCGTATGCGTTGAACCAGAAGAAGAACGGTCAGGTGGGCGATGAAGATTTGAGGAATTTGAGGAGAAAGCTCGAGAAAGATGAACACGACGAGTCCATGACCAGGAAACAGAGATCAAAACTCAACTAAGTAGAAAAGATTTCAGACATGGTTGCTGGAATACTTGGCTGATAAAATTAGTTTCAGACATTGATAAGTAAGCTGTTCTGTCATAATCTTCGCTTTGTTCTTCATGTTCTCAGTTATCTTGTGGATTGTATTAAGCGACCTTTTGAAGATTCTTTGCAACCCAAAAAGCGTGACAATATTATGATTTTCCAGGGGTGTATTTTGTGTTTATGAAAATATGGGGCTCATATGTAAAGTCTGAAAACTGTTGTCCGTAGTTTATAAAATGGGAAAATGGCCTGGGATGGAAAAATCCCTTCGGACATCAACCCTCTAATGCTTATATAAAGGACAAGAACACCTTCTCTCTGCTCACCTTCGCGATTAGCTCTTTTCTTATTCACATAGTTGTAATTTTTTTTTAAAAAAAATTAAATTTTCGATCCGAGTTTCAGACGCTGCACCTCACAGGAACTGCAGAAATCTAGGGTTTTCCCCCTTAAATCTGTGAATGTAAAAAGACAAGAATTAGGCATGATTTTTTCCGATCTTCACTTATCAGCTCTTGTTCTGTAGATTTTAGCGTTTCTGCTCCTTCGATTTTTCCCAGAATCGCTTGGATTAGTAACCCTTTTCTTGAATCCAATAGGGGTTGTGGTTCGCGTTACAGTCTTTGGATCGATCGAGTGTCTATTAGGGTTCATCTTCGTCTTCTCTGTTGTTAAATAAGAGCGATGGAGAAGAAAAAGGTCGCTGTTCCGCTAGTGTGCCATGGACATTCGAGGCCTGTCGTGGATTTGTTCTACAGTCCAGTGACTCCAGATGGTTTCTTCCTCATCAGTGCAAGCAAGGGTAATTTGCTTTATCATTTGTTATCCACATTGAATTTTGCCTTCGACAATGAATTGGAGTTTCGATTATCTTAGATTAGAAGTAGCGGAGAAATCTCCGATTTAAATCATTCGTTTAATTCAGGCGTAGTACAAGCTTCGGAACACAGATTCTGGATTCAGATTTTTTCTAGGACATTCATTCGACGATAATTTAGTGTACAACGATGAAAGAATCATCCTAGGTTTTACAGAAAGGTGTTGGCTGGCAACCTAGGAGGTCGGTGTTATAGCCTTTCTATCAGAAACTTGAATCGACGAGCTTTTTTGGTGTAGATAGTTTCACTTTTCCGGAAACAACCTTAACAGGGTTTCCATACCCTATGTTATGTTTGGTTCATGTTTCATGGGTTGCCTTTTATTCCATTGTTACATGATTATGAACTTTCTGTTGGCAACTCTCTTTTTTAGCTAAGAGATTGTGAGTTCTCATTTCTTGGTGTTAGATTCCCACCCTATGTTGAGAAACGGAGAAACCGGCGATTGGATTGGTACATTCGAAGGACATAAAGGTGCAGTGTGGAGTTCTTGTCTGGATACCAATGCCTTACGGGCTGCATCTGCATCGGCAGATTTTTCAGCGTACGTTATTCTAAAGCGTGAAATCTCTATAATTTTCAAATTGCCGAATGAGTTTCTTGGAAGGAGTATAACTACGTCTTTCATTTGTTTCAGTTAATAGTTAGATATAGCTTTATTGTTGTGTGTTTTTCATCTGTTTGAGATGATTTTTTTGTAAAAAAAAAATCCTTTATTCTTCATTATGTCATTCTTCTTCTGAGGTTATTGGTTGGCTTATCTAATATATATTCAGGAAACTTTGGGACGCATTGACGGGGGATGAACTGCATTCTTTCGAGCACAAGCATATAGTCCGAGCATGCTCCTTCTCGGAGGTAATTTCTAGTTATTTACCTTGTGATGTTGCTATTGTTTATTTGGTGACCTAAGTTTTGTCAGTTTTTAGTTTCCGGAACACGGATAAGCCTGCCTTACCATTTAGTGGTCAGGGTAAATGTGGCAGTCGGATTACTGTGTACCACAAACAATTTTACAAACAAGTTTAGCAGAATTTCAAATTGGATGCTTTCTGGTTTTGGTTCGTCTATTTGATATGATATATAAAATTTCCTGAAATCATCTATATAAGATCAAAGTGATCCGGCTTCCTGCTTCTCTCCAGTGGTAGACCCTTAAATTCATGAATGATTTCTTACTTTTGTATGTTCTCCATAAACAGCCATAAAAAGTAGTTGTCATGTTTGTGGCTGGTGTGTTTGGTTTCGCCAGGATACACACCTACTGGTCACAGGAGGACTCGAGAAAATTCTCCGCGTATTTGATCTGAATCGCTTAGATGCACCTCCTAGAGAGGTCGATAAATCTCCTGGATCTATCAGAACCGTTACATGGCTTCACAGTGATCAAACAATATTAAGTTCTTGTACCGATATCGGTGGTGTGAGGTATGAATTATTATAAGATCATGCGTCTATCTACATGTATGCTGTTGCATGCTGATATCGGTTGGTGGATTAAACTTTTTGTTTCGTTTTCCGTTTTTTCTCTATGGATTCTGATGTTGGAATATGATGCAGGTTGTGGGATGTAAGGAGTGGAAAGATTGTCCAAACACTAGAAACCGAGTCGTCCGTCACAAGTGCTGAAGTTAGCCAAGATGGTCGGTATATTACAACTGCTGATGGGTCCACTGTTAAATTCTGGGATGCGAACCAGTAAGTTATCGTTTCAGACAGATAGTTTCCTCTTGTAATAGACTTTTTGTCAATCGATTTCGTTAAAGCTCTATTCTTTGTCTTCCCTTTCTTCCCAGTTTCGGACTCGTGAAGAGCTACAACATGCCCTGCACTGTCGAGTCCGCATCATTGGAACCGAAATTCGGTAACAAATTCGTTGCTGGCGGAGAAGATATGTGGGTCAGAGTGTTTGATTTCCATAGTGGCGAGGAGATTGGTAAGTGAAGTGACGCAGAGACATATGCATCATCATTGTTAAGAAATTATAGATTTTGAGAACTGCCCATAATCAAGAATCGAGAACGTGTATTTGCCTTCACTCACTGGCTCTTTTGCTCTAAACCGTGTCAGGTTGCAACAAGGGTCACCATGGTCCGGTGCATTGCGTGAGGTTTTCGCCTACGGGTGAGTCCTATGCCTCGGGATCCGAGGATGGCACGATCAGGATCTGGCAGACAGCTCCTTCGAATCCCGAGGACAACAAAACAAGCACCGGGAGAGCGAAACAAACCGTCGAAGAAGTTGCCCGTAAGATCGAAGGCTTTCATATGAACAAGGAAGGGAAACCCTCGGAGAAACCATCTTAAACCTCTTAGAAAACGGACAGTGTTTGGCCTAACATATTTGCTCTGTCTTGTTTTGTTTCCAGACTGCTTGGGGGAATACAGAAACAAAGATCTCTCTCTCTCTCTCTCTCTCTCTCTCTCTCTCTCTCTCTGTGTGTGTTTGTGTAGGTGTTATTTTGTATCTTTTAGTTATAAAGAGGCTTTTTCATAATTAATACATCTTGGGGGCCGGATTTGTGATTTTTGATAATTTGATATGGGCCTTGGGCTTTTTCACTATATTTGAAACTGTGATTACCGACGGTCTTCAAGGGAGTAAAACGTAAATTAACACTAACGCTAGCACCGACTTACAGTGTTCTGTTCTCTCTGCGTGTGCGCCCCTCTCTCTCTCTCTCTCTCTCTCTCTCTCTCTCGTCGAGCGAGATCTGGTCTTCGTCGCCGTCTCTCTTTCTTCGGGGATTTTGGCGGGAAAATGTCGGGGAAAGGAGCGAAAGGGCTGATTACGGGAAAACCCAGCGGGAACGACAAGGACAAGGACAAGAAGAAGCCCATCACTCGCTCTTCTCGTGCTGGTCTCCAGGTCTCTCTCTCTCAATATATATTTGTTTCTCCTCTCTTAGTATACGTATGGGCGTCTATATACGGCGCTTATATATATATATATATGTGTGTGTGTGTATCGATGTTTGGGGACGCGTCAGATAGAAGTAGATCGTTTTTGCGACGGATCTGATCAAGTGTCTGAGGGAGAAGATGTTGTCGGGTCAGTGGGGGATTGCAAGATTTGTTCTTGTCTTCGCAAAGGGAACGTTGTTTGTTTCTTTGTCGTGAATCGTGATTGTGGCGAAACATCTCTTTATCTTGTCCGATTCTCGCCTGACCCGATTTGTAATAACCCATTAGCCAATTACAGAATCAAAAACCAAATGGGCTTTGGATTTTTCTTCTTCTCATGATCATCACCAATGGCTGTCTGGTACTGGTATGCGCAGTTTCCGGTGGGTAGGGTTCATCGGCTGCTGAAGACAAGGTCCACTGCCCATGGACGCGTCGGAGCAACGGCGGCCGTGTACACGGCGGCCATACTGGAGTACCTCACGGCAGAAGTGCTGGAACTGGCGGGAAACGCGAGCAAGGACTTGAAGGTGAAACGGATAACGCCGAGGCACTTGCAGCTGGCCATCCGTGGCGACGAAGAGCTCGATACCCTCATCAAGGGAACCATAGCTGGAGGAGGAGTTATCCCTCACATTCACAAGTCCCTTATCAACAAATCCGTCAAGGAGTAAGCTTTTGAATCTTGTTCATAAAAAGCTCTTGCCATGGATTTTGCCTGTTTTCCAAATCACTGGATGGTGGTGTCAGAGACAGAGATCTGTTTAATGCTAATGCTTTTTGATAATACCTGAATTCGTATATTGAGTTTACATCCTTGGAATTTCGACAAAATGGGTAAAAGATGCAACCTTTATTCATTCTTTTTTTTCAATCCGTATTGTCAAAGGAAGCAGCTTTTATGTCAGTTTTGATTTGGAAACACAACAAGCTGTTATTATTACACATGAAAAACAACAATGGAATGTTCGTTTATACAAAAAAACGATATATATATATATATATATAAACTGCAAACTGAATCACTGGAAAATGATCATCACACTAAAACAGATCTTATAATATAAAAAAAGCAGCTAAAATTTCACAGCTCGCTTGATTGTGTTGATGGATGACCTGATGAAGTTGTTCTTGACGAGATACTCGTTCTCGTCGTCGTCCCCTGCAACCACAACCGGCTTCTTCCTGATACTATCGACGCCTTTCTTCGTCCCGAAGATCAACGATGGAGAGGACGGAATCCTCCTGAACGCTCTTGCGCTTTCCGATCTCTTCACCGCTTTCTCTTTCGCCTTCTTCTCCGGGGTTTTCTTGGAGTCGAAACTCGTTCTGCCTCGGCCTGCACTTTCAGTTCTTGCTTCCTTTTTCTTTGCTGGTGTCTCGGGTTTTCGTTCCAGAGGGAACTTCAGGTCAAGCTTCTCGATGATTTCGTCCATTCTCTTCCCGTTTTCTTTCTCGTTCGATTCTTGAGGAGGAGGAGGATCATCTGAATCATCCTGTTTGTTGTTTTCCAGCAAAATCTGTAGCCATTTCTCTACGTTTCCTCTCCCTCGTTCTTTCCTGCTTTCTTCATCTTCCTCTTCCTCCTTCTCTGCTTCTTTTTCAACACAGAATTCTCTAAAGCTCCTTCTCATCTCTTCTTGTATCCCTCCTACCTTCTTCGGGTTATCTTCTAACACAACTAGGGATCTCTCAGAAACCTCGGTCTTTGTCTTCTGTTCTTCAGAACCTGTCTGTTCCTCCTCAATTTCCTTGGCCATGGATGAAGAACCAGCTTCTGCCTCGGAGGCTTTGTTTTCTTCTTCAAGAAAAGCTCTCAACTCCCTGTGTGGAGTTTCCGCCATTGTTGCAGGAAGATACAGAGCCATCTTTCGGTCTCTATCATCTAATAACAAGTCCTCGTACTGCAGTATCCTCGACCTTTTCCTCGCTTGCTCCAACTCGGGCCTGACCCGTTTCTCAAGCTCCTCTCTTTCTTTGAATTTCTTGTGAAGTTCTTTCTCTGAGGCATCACAAATCGCCTTTTGCGCCTCTAGTCTCGCCATTAAGGCACCAGTCGCCGCCTGGTTCAGCCTCACTTGCTCCTTGTACACTACACTCCTGCAAAGAAAAACGTTTCCATCCATGTTATGCACAACCTTTCGGGGAAAATCCCATATATGAAAACGGATTCTCGGTAGTAAAATCTCTCTTACTGGTGCATCGCATCACGGATCATTTTCTCGAGCATAATCCGGTACGAACACTGTGATTCTGCCAACCTCCTGCACTTTTCAGCCCGTCTCCTTCGCTTAATAAGTTCTCTCTCCAACTCCTGAATCGTCATACGCTCTTCGTTGTTCTTTACCGTCATCTCATTCAGCTCGTCATCTACTTTCTTTATCTCCGCCCTCATATTGTGAGCTTCCTCTCGTTGTTTCAGCGAATCCCTTGCAGCAACAATGGCATGATACGGATTTTTCAGAAAATCTGGATTCTCTTTCTGTTTCCTTGCACTGAGTTTCATCTGATTTCCTGCCAAGACATAACCAGATTTTAAGAGTGGCGATTGTACTAGATGACAAGAACAAGGACGTTTATTCTGCCGTGAGTACTAACTAACCTGTCGTTTGGCGATTGTAATCGAGTGACCTCAAAACCATCGAAGGGTCATAAGATTCTCTTCGAGAAACAACGACTGCAGCCGCGGCTAGGCCAAGCTTCTCTTTCGATTCAACGAAATGTTGCGGGAAATGATGAGATTCCACGGTTTGTGACCCGTTGAGTTCCTCGCTCTCACCTTCCTTGAACAAGAAGGAAAACGCTCTCCTCCTGTCAAACGTCATTAATCCAATTAAGCAAAGAGCTTACATTTAACCGTATTTTCCAACGAGGAAGATGAACATATCGAAGGATTGTTCACCTGAAATCGGAATTCGAAGCTGCAAAGATCGACAAAAACTGATTCACCGAGATGCCCACTTGAAGGTCCCACCACGGAACCAGGAACTCGAGCTTGTCACGCTTGTTCTTACAAGCCTGCCATTGTAGTATCCTAAGGTTGCTCGGGACAGTTAACCCTCCTCCTACATCCCAGAATCAGACCAAACCGTTCTACTTAGATGACAAAACGAGAAAGAACAAAACTCGTAACTCTGACAACAAGTGAAGGAGATTTGTAGAGATGAGAGTCTGTACTTGAACAAGGGAACCAGTGATCAAAATCCCAAGCGAGAGGAGAAGCTGAATCCGCATGGAAGTAGAGAACATTCCCGCATGGATCAACCCGGATAACGGCTGGATCGAACCCGGCATTACTACAAACAAAATCAAGGGCAGTCAGAATCATAAGCTCTGAGAACTCATTCTGCTTACTGTTAACTAAGAAGAGATTTATTTATATGCATACCCTAGATGATTGAGTTGCTTCCACAGGAGGCTGAGATAGATCTTCGGCTTGGCCGTACGCCTCGCCTTTGGATCGATTACCGGGAACATTTCACTTAGTTCCTTGGATCTCAAACTCTTCAGGCATAAAAAAAAGGAGGAAACTTTGAGTTGCATGTTTCAGAATGTAAGGAATTGTTAGTCTGTAATGAAATTAGAAACATTCTCCATTCGTGAGAAAAAAAGTTGTCAGAATCTTCCAAAACCTAGAAACGTTTATGAAGCTCAAGAGCTGGATATGGTGAAATCTACCAAACAATTACTAACCTTTCGCATTGACTGAAGAACCCTAAATTTTTTTCAAAAGTTTCTGAATCTCACACGGTTTATTCCACTTAAACAACATAGATTCATGTCGGGGGAACCGAACAGAGCCCGGGAAAATTCTGGGGCCTATTTACCTCGTTCTGCTGAAGAATGTACGGGGTGAACGTGAAGGGAGGGCCATTGTTGTACGGACAGAGATCGTAGTCCCGACAGATCTTCGCGTAGGCTCTCGGATAACCCAATCCCTCCTCGATCACCACGTCTTCCTCCGTAAATCCAAACTCGCTCGCCATTCTCACAGAGAACACCTCTCTCTCTCTGTGATTTTTGTGTGGAGAGGAAACAGAGTCTTCGGAGTTTCTGTTTTGGACAAGAAGATAAACTCAGGCAACGGTCGGATTCTTGCGCTTTCAAAGCTCTTCGTGGTTTGTTCGGTTTGTCTCCGTGTTTTTGGGTCAATAAAATTAAGTTTAAAATGAGAACGTTGGGCGACATTTTGAAGAGGAAAAAATGCCACGTCAGCATCCAAACGGCGTGGGTGTAACGGCTAATGACACGTCGGACCCACGCTCCTCCACGGGAATTTAATTCTTTATTTATTTATTTATTTTATTTTGTGACGTTGTATCTCTCTCGTGAAGGGAAAAAAAAAAGTCATGGGCTTTCGGAATTTTATGAAGTGGAACCTTTTTTTTTGGAATTTAAAAAGGGATTTTGAATAAAGGAGCAATGATTACGGTCTTAATTTAAATCAAAATTAGGATCAAAACGGAAAATTTTCATTTAGCTTATAAAGTTTGAATGTGTATGGTGGTATATTTCCTTTGGGCTTTTCTTGGTCCCTAAACTATATTATTGGGCCACATCTAAGTCAGATTTCACTTGATGGGCCTTGGAGAGATATTACGAATCTTAACTCTGCTCGTTTGGACCGAAACGCCAAACGTGGTTTTTGGCGTTTCTAAACGCGCAAATCATGTCGACTGTTGGTAATTCTCTAAAGTGTTAATCCTATGTTGTCTTTCACGGATTTGTTGTATGTATGTATGTATGTATGTATGTATGTATGTATGTATGTATGTATGTATGTATGTATGTATGTATGTATGGTATGTATGGTATGTATGGTATGTATGTATGTATGTATGTATATATGTATGTATGTATGTATGTATGTATGAAAAACTGCATATGCCAATTGGAATAAGTAAACAGATTTAAAGACTTAGACCCAATTAAAAAAAAGAGAGAGAGAGAGAGTGAGTCAAGGTCAATGCATTCGGACAAAACCCCTCGAACACGCTGCGAAGCCCGAAATGATTATATTTAATTATTTATACCTTTAAACGAAACAATGGTTTAAAAAACCGAGAGAAAAAAAATTTATTTTGAGATTTAAATAACTTATATTTTTGTTTTTGGTAAAAAAAAAATCATGGTTTTGTATAAAATGATACGAATAGTTATTTCATTTGTATCAAATACAAAAACAGATTATGAATTTAAAACTAAATTGGCAATCAATGCCATCAAATGGTGTGATATTTATTTAGCAAATAAAGAAGAAGTAATTCCAGTATTATAATTATGTATTATGCTGTCTAAACAACTGATAGTTTTATATTTTGGTTTCAATTTACCACCACGTTTATTTTGGTATTACAAAATTAAAATTAGGATTTCAAGATATAAGAATATAATTTATTTGGATACTAAAATATAAAAATTTGACTTTCCTTTAGTGCCACCAAAACTGTCAGTTCATCTCATGTGATGTAAGATCGCATACCTGGACAATGATACGATCTCTTAATGGTGTATTGTAATATTGTGTAAAAGTAAAACCGTATGTTTATATTTTATATAGACATTTCCGTATAAATTGTGTCCATTATAAAATTGCAATTTTTATCATTGAAAAATCATATTTTTATAGAAATTGAAAGCCAAATACAAAATTATATATTTACATTTTCCCTAAAAGCTTATGTTAAATTTCCTTCCTAATATATATATGTGTGTGTGAGATTATGAAAAACTATGGGATGAAATTAGTTAAATAGAATTAAAAAAAAAGTTAGCTAATAGCAAAATCATCATTATGGAGTGAATGTAATGAATTAGACGATTTCAACGGAATTTTAAAATTAATTTTAGACATTAACAATAACTTATCAGATCCAATTCTTTATAATTCTTATGCGTTATATATTTTTGCAATTCCAATTGGACTTTTATATGATTGAAACGTGTTCATTGAATCCATCCGCTTTGCCTAATACTGTGAGATAATTCTAATTAATACATCCTAATCATGTTTAACATTTTTTAATTAAAAAAATGTTAAAAAACCTTCCGGAAATTACTTCAACTTCACTCCCTCTCCCTCTCTCTCTCTCGAGATCGAAATTCAACGACCGAACATTTGCTGAGAAATTAATGCAAGCCCACAGCAACTCTTCAGTGTTTGTGTCAAAGTTCATGTTCTTCTTTCTTTTCTTGGCAGAGAATTCCAAGAAAGTTTCCACCTTTGTCCTAAACTCAGTTAGAGCCAGCTCCTGCTATTTCCCAAGACAAAGTCCTCTGATGTTCTTACATTCATAAAAATGGTAAATTTCGTCCTCGCCTTCTTTCTCGCATATGGGTTGTGTTTTCCTTCCGCAATAAATTCGGTCGCCGATTTAGATTTTGAGTTTAAAGCTGAATCTGCTCCGAGATTTAGTTACGATCGGATCGATGAAGTGAAGAGACAGTGTAGGTCTGTTCTGTCCTCAGCTTCCGAACTGAAACTCGAAGACATATCTAGGGTTCGTGGTGTTAGGAAGGGGCTCGGATTCCAGTACGGAGATTGGAACCAAGATTCGGGCGCTTCCCCGATTTTGCCATTTGATGAGAGTACAAACCCATCGAGAAACTCGCTGGCTAAGCCCGTGAAGCTCGCCTCTTTCTGGGTCACGGATCTTGATCTTGCCCATCGATCCAAGAAATATGTGGGCGTTAATGGCGTTTTGATGCTCGGTATAACAGTAGATAATGGTTTACCCAGGAATCTGCGTTTTGATAGAAGCCGTCAATTCGAGTTATGGCCTGGTCATACTCAGCTTAAGATCTCCCTTCAAGGAGTTTATTTCGAGACGAAAGAGAATGACGGGGAAAGAG